ATTGTGGATGGGACACCTGATCAGTGGAATAAAGTCCTTATAGACCACTGCGACTCCGCCTCCCCGCCCTCCAAGCCTTGGTTGGTGCTGAACGGAATAACCTGGTGGACAGAGTTGGGAGAGATTAACCCCTCCCCCCTCATCCAGCCAGGTCTCCGTTATACAAGCCAGGTCGGCTCGTTCTTCTTCGATTAGATCTTGAATGATAGAAGTTTTTCCATTTACCGACCTGGCATTGAACAGCACCACCTTTAGCCTGGAGGGGCCACCATCCTGGCACCTCAGTTGTATTTTGTCAGGAGTAGATTTTGGGGATGTCAAATTGTTATAATTAGTTTCGGGCCGAATAGTAGCATTAATTTTTGGAGTTGTCAATGTCCTATTGAGAATTTGGGGCCGAATTTGCTTTTGTCTTTGATTTCTAGGATCTTTAGAGGTTGCCAATTTGTTATTAAAAATTTTGGGCCGAAATGGTTGTTTTATACTCCCTTTCCCGTATCTCCCTCTGCCAGTCACCACCTCTATGGCGGCCCCCCCACCCGCAGCCCCACCCCCCCTGGGGACGTTCCCTCCATTTCCAGCAGTTGTAATTTCAATAGTGGACACATACTCATAGCGCTGATTATCCGTCTCTGGGTCCCAATATTCCCACCTCTTAATGCTATCTATTCCTTCCAGTGTAGCAAAAGCTGTAAAGTGCACTTGTGTTAATGCTATAAAGTGCGCTTGTGCTAAAGTTGTTATAATGCACTTGCGCTGAACAAGCTGTAAAGTGCACTTGTGTTAATGCTATAAAGTGCACTTGTGCTAGAGTTGTTATAAAGTGCACTTGCGCTGGAAATTGGAGGGATATCAATAGCAGCAAAGGTGAAGTAAACATTGACCTAGAGGTAGTATGCTGATGTTAACAGTTAACAGGAACCCAAGAACAGAACATAAAGTGCAATGGCTATGACCACTTGACCTGGGATTTTGGACCACTTAGTAGAGGTATAGGATCTAGCAAGATCTAGAATGCTTAGAATAATGATGTGGGTTCTAGCAGAATCTAAAGTGCTTAGATTAAAGTGACTTCGTGCTGAAGTAGTTCTAAAATGCACAATAATGCAAAGATTTTGTCTTCTATAAATAAATTCACTTCCGACTACTCAGTCAAGACAGACTACCATCTCCCGAAGGACTCGGTGCGGCTTACAGGAGGCCAAGCCCAAATACATCAGTAAAAACAGCAACAACAGCAATATAGACAATGTTGTTGTTCGTTCGTTCAGTCGTCTCCGACTCTTCGTGACCTCATGGACCAGCCCACGCCAGAGCTCCCTATCGGCCGTCACCATCCCCAGCTCTTTCAAGGTCAGTCCAGTCACTTCAAGGATGCCATCCATACATCTTGCCCTTGGGCAAGATAGACAATACATAAACTCATAAACAAGGCAATAAACAGTAACAATAACACCACGATTCATTAAAACAGTAACAATAACACCACGACGCATACCCTGCTGTAGCCTCCTACCATTTCACAGATCCTTAGGTTCTCTCCAGGATGCTTTTGAGTTGTTCACCTTTTCATATAAGGGGCACCATTTAATAATAATAATAATAATAATAATAATAATAATAATAATAATATATTTATATACCACTCCATCTCCCCGAGGGGACTCATTGCAGTTCCCAGGTAATATCACAAAACATACAAAGTAAAAAACAACATAACCATGTTGTTGTTCATTCGTTCAGTCGTCTCCGACTCTTCGTGACCTCATGGACCAGCCCACGCCAGCGCTCCCTGTCGGCCGTCGCCATCCCCAGCTCCTTCAAGGTCAACATAACCATAAGATTAACAAAACAAAATATAAGCATAAAAATTGTCGCCATAACACACATATATTAAAAGTAATCCTGCCTGTTCAAGGCAATTAAAAAATTTAAAAGACTGGGCCAAGATTTGTGCAAGCCCAAAAATTCTAGGGGGCCCGGGAATTAAATGCAATGCTGTGGCAGGCAACAATAATATTAGGTATGGGTCTGTGGCTGTTCATTCCGGGGACGATTAGAGGAAAGAATCTAGGTAATTGGTAGGAAGAATAAGGCCGTATTAGACAATGTGTGGGGCTGAGTTAGAACTGGTCATTTTCAAAGGCTTGATGAAACCACCAGGTCTTCAAGCTCTTACGAAAGGAGGGGAGGGATGGGGCCTGTTTTATTTCCCTTGGAAGGGCATGCCAGAGATGGGGGGGCCACCACTGAGAAGGCCCTCTCTCTCGTCCCCACCAACCACGCTTGAGACGGTAGTGGGACCGAGAGGAGGGCCTCCCAGGAAGATCTTAGAGCTCGTGCTGGTTCATAGAAGGAGATGCGATTGCAGAGATAGACAGGGTCCGAACTGGTTTTTTTTACTACACCATTGTATATTTTGGATCTTGGGCCTCCATGGATTTTGGTATTGGCAGGGGGATTCTGGAACCAAACTTTAGTGGTTACCAAGGGCCCACTGTACTTTCCTTTAATACAGCAGTTCTCAACCTAGGGGTTGAGAAGGGAGTGTCAGATGGGTCACCAAAGATCACCAGAAAACACAGTATTTTCTATTTGTCATGGGGGTTCTGTATGTTAAGTTTGACCCCATTCTATCATTGGTAGGGTTCAGAATGCTCTTTGATTGTAGGTGAACTATAAATCCCAGCAACTACAACTCCCAAATTACAAAATCAGTCCCACTACCCAACCCCACCAGTATTCAAATTTGGCCGTAGTAGGCATTGTGTCAAATTTGATCCAGTGAATGACAATACATCCTGCATATCAGATATTTACATTACGATTCGTAACAGTAGCAAAATTACAATTTTGAAGTAGCAACAAAAATAATTTTATGGTTGGGGGTCACCACAACATGAGGAACTGTATTAAGGGGTTGTGGCATTAGCAAGGCTGAGAAAAATAATTTAATAGATGCATCTGAGATAAACATTAAGTGGAAATCAAACTTAAAACTGCAAGAATTATATTTAACCTCTAATTAATAAATAATGTCAATCCATATTTTGCCATATAAGTAACTTTGAGCTTCCTTGACCACCCCCATCCCTTGTTTTCTGGGGAAAGGTTTCACTCTGTTCAGTTGAGTGGCAAACTGTAGTTTATTTCTACACCTATACGTGATAACTATGGGTCAGATCAGCAAGCTGTGGATTTCCATTAGGCAGCATTGCAAGCTTTTAGATTCTTCCCACCTACATCGAAGAAGAGTGTAAGGGAACACACCAGTGCAATGTTTGTAAAAGTCTAGTTTGTAAAAGTCAACTGTATTGCTAAAAGAGAATGGGGTTTCATTTGCTTTTTGAATAACCAGCTCATGGCATCTGATGCAAGAATGGAAAGACTTAGCTTTGGTTAGACATACAGGAGGAACTTTTCATTTTAGGATAGTTTAATAAACCCTGTTTCGCATTGCTTATGGATATTTTTTTATTTTTATGGATGAATTTTAAATGCGGATAGGAATGGCAAATGGAATTATTGAGTGACTGAGGTTTGTTCAAAGGGCCTGGAATGACTTGTAAACAAGACATCTAAATTCCCAGTTGTAGCCTCTGATTGTACTCCCTTCCTTTCTGTGGAGGTGGATAAACTGGTAGGGAATATTTCCTGTTCCTTTCATTAAGGAGGGAATGGCGGGTCATGGTTAGACTTTTGGTTTCAATTACTTTTTCTAAAGTAAATTGGGAAGTTTCCCAAGTATTTTTTGACAGTCCTAAAGAGTGGATTTCTTGCATGCATGTTAGCCATTAGTGGGTGTTAATTTTGGGAGCCGTGCCAAAGGGAAAGGTTGCGTTCCCATTAAGCTCTTGAATTTGTATCCTGAGACCGATAACCAGATAGTCAGCTTTGCTTTCCAGTGTTTTAAACCAACTGAGCATCTTTACTAACTGCTCTTTCACCTTTCCGGTGGACCCTCAGGAAATATGGCAATCAAGCCCTGTTTTGATGGTACTTTAAACATGGAGCATGAATCAGCTTGTTCTGGCAATCTTTTTAAATTACTGAACTTTTAAACTGTAATGTTTCCAGTGAAATGAGTTGACAGGGTGGAAACTGAAGTACTTATTGTTCAAAAAGCTACTGTAGGTCAGTTAGTATTTTAGTGGCTCTCATTATTGTGTTCCCATGTGATGTTAGACAGCAACCTCCAACACTTTGGACCATTGTCTAAATCTACTGGAAATAATGAAGTTATTGCCTACAAAGTTAAGGGACTCTTTTTCTAGAGATGCAATATCCAAAGCATCTTCTTCCTTTTTGCTACAAGGAATAACCTATTGAGAATTTGCATGTGAGACTTACGTACCCTCACTGCAAAATATGATGTGGTGTGAAGGAAAGCACAAAATAGCTCAACACAGGAACAAGCGTTTCTGTTGTTGTTGTTGTTGTTGTTGTTGTTGTTGTTGTTGTTGTTATGTTTATTTATACCAGTGGTTCTCAATCTGTGGGCTGTAGCCCAGCAGTGGGCCGTGAGATTGAAAATCCGGTCTGCGAACCCCCTTCGTTGTCATTTATTTTATTTTATTTCAGCTCCTTTCTGCAGAGCTGGATTTTATATATTTCTATTAATGTGTGGGTTTTTTAAAAAAGTAATTTGCTGTTTTTTATTGAGATGTTTTCAAGAGGCCTTGCACCCCAACCTTGGGAGGAAGATGAGATATTTTTAAATATTGGTGGAAAGATGGGATGTAACCATAGCTAATAAATAATATGATGAAGCAGTGCGGAAGATATTTAACTCTACAGTCTTGATTCATTGTCTATTTGTAAATACATCTGGAAGAGAGACTGATTTAATGCTAGCAGCAACCTTATTCTCAAGGACTGCTACGCTCGAGTCTTATTACTAATACATTAATGTCGGATACTAGCCTTTAATAGAAAGGAAAATCAGCTAGCATATGCGCGAATTCTTTTTAATTAATACTACTATTATTTTTTCTTTACAGAGACATAACATACAGTATTTCTCTGGAAGCGGTGACAACTCTTGTCGTTTTCCTCTCCTGCCAACTTTTCCACAAGGAAATTCTGCGGGAAAGCATTGCACACAAATACCTCATGCACGGCCCATGGTATGTCAGACCGCAGTGCCATTTTCTATATAGATTGCTTCCATTATTGGGAGTAAATACAAGTGCTTGCCCTCAGAACAGGCTTGTTCGTTTAGCTGTATGTTTACCTGTGGTACTGCAGAGTTTCTCTCAAGCCAACTGTGAATTGAATCTTGACTGATACATACAAATAATTGCCAAGGCCATGAAAAGAGATACTGATATGAGATGTAAGGTCTTCTGTCACGTCTCACAATTATAGAATTCTGATGACAATATAGACTTGTGCATAAGTTAACCTCACGAATTAAGTCAAGGACAAGTTTTGGTCTGAAAATTATGAATTTTGATAAGTGGAGGGTCATTACACAGACAGGAGAAAACATCAGTGTTGTCTCAAGGGGTCAGCTTCTGCGATCATTTTCCTGCTCAGACATTCAAGAAAATCTTTCATTACTCTGCTCAGAGAAGGAGAAGATAAGAGTTAAGGTACAGGGCTTACATTGACCTGTAGATAAGCCAACCCTGACTTTTTGGACTGATTTTGGGGCTACAATTTCTGGACTTATATACATGAGTATATGCAGTTATCTGCGAGGTTTAGCAGACCTTAGCCAAAATAATTCAGTAGAAGATGCTGCTCAACTCAGCATCTCCTTGTGGCAGCAGTTAAGTTGAAGAGACATTGAGATATTTTCCAATGTTTAGGCCAATAGGATAATGGCAGGGAATTGTTCAGGGCTCTTATTTTAACTTCAGAAGTCTTCAGTAAGTGGCTAATTATGACAGGTGAAACTGTCTTCTATCCAGCAGTGCCTGAGTGCCTTATGTGGAACCCTTTTTTCCTGCTGCTCTCTCTACTGCTGTTGACCAAACCAATCCTCTATCCCAGGCATGGGCAAACGTTGGCCCTCCAGGTGTTTTGGACTTCAGCTCCCACAATTCCTAACAGCAGGTTAGGGAAATAGTGCAGGCCAGTGGAAGCCATTTTAGAGGTAGCATCCTTGTCCCTCTAGTAGTGAAAATATAGAGGGGTAAACTGCTTCTCCAGTTTTCAGATGAACAAACAAGCTATGTATGATTCTTGACAATATTTGGTTGATTATGGACAGAATAAAGTGACCTGTCTCCTTTAAAAAAGTTGGGGAACCAAAAGTATTTTTCCAAGAATTTTTAATGATTACAAGGCTAGAATTCTATTTTTACAATATATAAAAGATTAAAATAGATGGGGATAATCAGGAGGGGTCTGGAGGGGTAACTATGTATGCTTGCCCCTACGCTACCTCGCAAGCGTACATGTAAAAGGGAAAAAAACCACACACAAAATCCTAAGGGGTAGGACTTATGAACCACCACAAAGACTTAAGATCTTCTGGGGAGGCCCTGCTTTTGGTCCCACAACTGTCAAAAGCATGTTCGGCAGGGATGAGAGAGAGAGGGCCTTCTCAGTGATTGCCCCCGGCTATGGAATTCCCTTCCTGATGAGATTAGATCAGCCTCCTCCCTCCTGTCCTTCAGAAAGATGGTAAAGAGTAGACCTGGCTGTAAGACAAAGCCTTTGGGGCAGTGCAATAAGGGAAAAATAGGAAACCTACTCTGCTGACCAAAGCCATTATGGGGTCTTGAGATGGTTTTAAATAGCTGATTTTGAAGTAGATATAACTGATTTTAATGTTTATGTATATTTATAGTTATCTTATGTCCCAGCATGGAATGCTTGCTGTATATATGTTGTGCTCTTCTCTGAGTCCCCTTCAGAGTGAGACGGGCAGAATATAAATGTTTCAAATAAATAAATAAATAAATAGGTCTGAGGAAGGAAGGTATGAAGGGGAAGAAAAAAAAAGTTGACTTCTAATCTTCTCCACTCTAGTTTACACAGTCCTTTCTTAACTCCTTATAGTTCTGCTATCCCCTCTTCCTTTGTTCACCTCGGAGAACAAATTTTCTTTTAACCTTGTCCATATTCATTATGTGTATTATTTTTAGCATCCAGTGTTTCTTTTATTGGTGTTTCTTTAGCTCTCCATTTTTGAGCATATATTATTCTAGTCACAGTCTCTGTTAAATAGCCTAACTTTATTTTTGTCTAGTTTGAAGTCTATAATCCTTAATAGGAAATATTCTGGCTTCAACTGCACTAGTATTATCTGGAGTTTCTCTTGAATTCCTTTGCAATATTTTTTCGCTATTTTGGAGGTCCACCACATACAGAAAAAAGTTCCTGCATGTTCCTCACATTTGCAACATTTATCTTGTACTGATGGATAGTATTTTGCTAATTTTTGTGATGTTACGTACCATTGGTACATCATTTTGTACCAATTTTCTTTCAGATTATACGAGTGTATGAATCAAAACATCCCAAACATCTTTTACCTCAATGAACATTTCTATGCATGTGTTAGTTAGGATATTTTTTCATATTTTCAGTTCAGCTGTTGCTCATTTGGATTGCATCTTAGATTGAGTGCTGCGTTCAGAAAAGTAGGGATAGGGGTCAAAATCTTGAGAAATGCTGTCTTGGAGGACATTTGGGTTTTAAGATGGTTAACCACATGGCTTAACGAGCATTTGGATCTTCTGTTGCAATGATATTAGTGGCTTTGGGGAATATATTTAGGAATTGGACAAACATGTTCCTGAGGCCTGGTGTTAGGAATGTCTGCATGTAATTCTTACTGACCTATTTTCAAATGTTTGGGGTTTTTGAATTTTGTTTTATTTGATTTTGGAAGACATAGAAGCACTACCCTAGTGAAAAGAATGGTGTGATATTGACATTTACATTTTGTTTTGTTTCCATCAGAGATGAACTTAAATGTTTGGCTCTTTTGCATTTCCAGTCTTCCATACACCAGCAGGCTTGTGAAGACCTTGCTATATAACTTCATCAGACAAGAGAGGAGTCCTCCCCCAGGCGCCCATGTCTTTCAGCCAGAGCCAGACCCAGACGGAGGAGGATTGCTGTATGGAATTGCATCAGGAGTTGCAAGTGAGTCTGGCTGTGGGAGAACAATCCATTCCTAGGCCTATAGGATATCCAAAGGTTCAGTTCTATTGTGTACACATGCTTTTCAGAGGGAGTGAAAGTGCAATTATAGCAGCAGAGCAAAAATGGAAGCACAACACAACTTAAGTTCTGCTAAGTAGAAGAGATTGTGCTGTCTGCTTTTAATAAGACTTAAGGAAAAGCCTGGCATTGATTCTATAGCATTGATTCATTCTCATTCTCTCTCTGTGTGTTTCTGCAAGGAAGAGAATCATTGCAATCTACTTTTCTACTTCACTTCTCACACAAATTCCTCTAAAATACTCTGAGACTGATGTGGTTTCTGCTTGATCCTTCTAAGAAGTAGACAGTTGAAGTAATCTCCTTCTTTACTATTTTTATCTCAAGAGTCCATTACTTAAGGAACATCCCCACTTGTCTAGCCTGCTGTAGTCTCAGTTTAGCTTGTTGACCTTCTCCCAGTACCAGTAACCCCATTTGTTTGATGGTTTCCTGGGTTTTGCACAGTTTTTCACGCATTCTGAAAGTGGTTCTCTAAGTGCTGTTTAAGATCTTTCAGCTTAAAACAATGTGAGAGATGCTGGTATTTTTGGTCCCATCATGTTGACTTTGGCCCATCAGTGGAATGTAGCCATGAGAATGTCTCTGAAGTTGAATGGGGTCCTCAGGATGAAAGAAGTTCCTTCTCCACTCTTGATTTGGTCTGTTGAGTCTGGGGCTGTGTTATGTGCATTTCAAAGGGCATTATTATTAGTTTAGTTGATAGCACACCCAGGCTTCATGTGGATCATGTTCCCTTCTGCTTTGATAACACAGGCTAACACACATTTGGATGCTTCAAATGTTAGACCTGTTTCTGAGTAAATTATGCAGTCGAGTTTCCCGCATTTGGGGAAATCGCAGGGGTCAGCATACCCAGATTCCAAAAATGGCACCAATTTCCCCTATCAGTTCTATATATCAGCAGAATATATGCCAGGTACCAGTCTTGATCTTTAGGAAGTTATGATAACCATATTATTTATTTATTTATTTATTTATTTATTTATTTACAGTATTTGTATACTGCTTTTCTCACCCCGAGGGGGACTCAAAGCGGTTCACACATAAGTAATGGCAAAATTCAAAGCCAGTACAAACAATTACAATTATACACTACAGTTAGACATAAAACAAATTAAAACAATATATCCATGTAGACAAGGAAGAAGTGGATGTAAAGTAAGAATCTATGATATCTTTCTATGTATTATTTAGACAGTAGACTGTGACCCCTTAATAGGAATATATTATGAGATAAAAGATTATAGAACATTAATAGATAGAAAGTATTGCACTATATGCAACAAACACTTGCAAATGTATGTTTACTTAAATAAATAAAAAAAATTCAACCCCCTCCCCCCCAATACATCCATAAGCAATAAAACAATCATTAAAACAATAAAACAGTCTCGTCCATCAAGTCGTATGATTTGTATGATTGACGGATTGATGTTTAATGAAATGTAAGAAACTAGTAGGCCTGGGCAATCCATGTTCTAAATGGTTCTAAAGTACTTACAAAACTAAAGTTCTAGTGGTGAAAATTTCAGAACTCTAACAAAACTTTCAAAATTTAATCATTATTTCATTATTGGTGATTTTTATGACAGAACCAATTAGAAACTGCCATTTATAATGAAATTTTGAGAGTTTTGTTAGAGTTTTGAAATTTTCACCACTAGAACTTTAGTTTTGTAAGCACTTTAGAACCATTTAGAACCATGCATTGCCCAGGCCTAGAAACTAGAGCTGATGTGGTCTATCCAATGCAAATTTCTGAATCAGCATCACAGGTAGGCCTAAAAACAAAGTCATCAAGGAAAATATTTTCTTGTTGGGCTGTGTAATGGTTGAGAGTCATACCCTTAGTTTTGGTTATGTGAAGTGCCCTCCTAACCACGTTGTTATCGCATCTCCCCCTAATATCTCCAAGAGATACTGGATATCATTTCTACTTGTGAGCAATTATTTTCATAGCTGCAGTTTCTGTACCTTCTACTACTTTATATGCCATATGAATATGTTGTCTAAATTTTTTTTTGCTCGTATTTTAAGTGCATACATTGACTTTCCCTTCTGTTGTGATGGGAGTCATGGTTTGGTATGCCCTACCTCTGTAGCATCTGTTTCCAGCATGGACCAGTTTTGTCTCTGTAAGGAACGCTGACAAGTCGTAACCACAGTGCTGTGTGTGGTAGGAAGGCTTTCATATGCATTTTATTTCTTCTTCTCTCCCCACCCCTCCATCCTCCGTCTGTGACTCTTTGGCAGCAAAAACAATTAAAGCAAATTGTCTGCACTTCCTCCCCGCTGAAGACCCCACGGTATGATAAATGTTAATCTTAAACATACTGCCATTTTTAATCCTTCTTTCCTTTTAAGATTGAAGAGGGCAAGGAATCCTTTTAAAAATGGAGTTTTCATAGCAATTAGATATAAGCATTATTCTAGTGCAAATACTAAATTTAACCATTTCTTATAAATCAGAATAAAGAATGCCCTATGACTTTGGCAGTAGAAGCTTTTTAAGGGATCGTTGTGTCTTCTTCCAAGATGTATCTTAAAGAACTTGTAGTATCCTGGCTATGGAATAGCTTTTCCAGAGGGGTTTACTTGGTGCCATCTTTATGGCTTTTTAACACGAGGAATACAGTATTTTATTCACTCAAGCCTTTTTATTGTTTTGTGGAGTATTTGTATTTGTGAATCTGTCTCATGAGTCATTCCGATAACTGTGGACTTGCTATAAAGATGCAGTTCAAATAAAAAATAATTAAAATGCTGCTTATTTTACCTGTATTCCATCTTTCCGCCAAGGTTCTCATGGCAATGTACAGTCAGCCCTCTGCATTTACTGGGTTAGGACACAGGACCCCTGTGAAAGTGAAAAACTGCAAATAATAATAATAATAATAATAATAATAATAATAATAATAATATACTTTCTTTATATTCCGCTCTATCTCCCCAAGTGGACTCAGAGTGGATTAGAATGCATATATGACAAACATTCAACACCATTATACAATTAACAACAAAGACAGACAGTACATAGACAGAGGCAAGGCTTCCCCCTTTTCATCTCCAGCATCTGGAGCTGGACATGTTTAGCCTGAAGAAGAGAAGGCTGAGAGGAGATATGATAGCCATGTATAAATATGTGAGAGGAAGCCACAGGGAGGAGGGAGCAAGCTTGTTTTCTGCTTCCTTGAAGACTAGGACGCGGAACAGTGGCTTCAAACTACAAGAGAGGAGATTCCATCTGAACACGAGGAAGAACTTCCTGACTGTGAGAGCTGTTCAGCAGTGGAACTCTCTGCTCTGGAGTGTGGTGGAGGCTTCTTCTTTGGAAGCTTTTAAACAAAGGCTGGATGGCCATCTGTCAGGGGTGATTTGAATGCAACATTCCTGCTTCTTGGCAGGGGGTTGGACTGGATGGCCCATGAGGTCTCTTCCAACTCTTTGATTCTATGATTCTATCTGGAGGCTGTGCTCAACTCAGCCATGGGGAGGTGCTATTATAAAAAACTATAATTAAAAAAAACTTTATTTGTATATCACTCTATCTCCCCAAGAGGACTCAGGGTGGTTTCCAGCATAGGGCAAAACATTCAATTACGAACACAAAGTCATACAAGATAAACCATTATAAAAAATAAACATAATATTATTAAAACAACCACACACATTTAAAAGCCAATTCCAGTATTATTCCATCGGACAAGATGGACAAATTGTTCCATTTTCCACACCTGAGGAGCATGTTGTCTGTGACCGCCTTCCTGATCGAATTTTGCTGGCATGTCTTCAGGGCTCCTTTTACCTCCCTGCCAAAGTGGTACCTATTTATCTACTCACATTGCTGTTTTCAAACTGCTAAGTAAGCAGAAGCTAGGGCTGACGGTGGGAGCTTTCCCTGACTCGTGACTTGAACAGCCAAACCTTCCAGTTGACAAGATTTTCTTTAGCTAACAGTTTATCCCATTGTGCTAACCGATATTCTTTTTTATCTGAGAGGACAGCTCTTAGTCTCTAGGGTTCTAGGTTCTCCAGCATGACTCTACTCGACTTCTGCTGGAAATTGACCATATAATCTCACTGGACAGCCTAGCAATTTCTAGAAAGAAAGTGTTAACCAACTCTGCGAATAATCAAATTTGGAGAGGTTAAACCTGCAAATGTGGAGGGATGGCTGTGCTCTGTTCTTCCAAGTCCCTTGGGGAGATGGTGGCGGGGTATAAATAAAGATAATAATAATAATAATAATAATAATTATTATTATTATTATTATTATTATTATTATCTTTATTTATACCCCGCCACCATCTCCCCAAGGGACTTGGAGCCGCTTACATGAGGCCAAGCCCAACAACACATCAATAAAAACAAAAAGCAATAAACAAAAAACAATAAATACAATACAATTAATATAAATCACATATAAACAATAATCAATAAACAGTAACACACAAGGATTTAAAATCCTTCTCTCCCCTTCTCATGTTATTCGCACAAGAACGGCACAAAGTACATTGGACTGAGAGTGTGCAACTGGGAAAGGATTGCCCAATGGGCTATTTAGGTATTTGTGGTTTTGTTTATTGATCTCTGCATATCTAAATTGTACTGGCTACCAGTATTCCTATTTTTTAGCTCATAGCTAGTCTTCTTGTAGGATGTCTTTGAAAGTTTGCAGTAACCACTGGGATCATTATTCACTTCAGGTTCTCAGTCTGTCGTGGTTACTTTATCTGGAACTTGAGCAAGTCTTGGCAATCTCTTCAAGGATTTTCATATCCCATCCTGCGGTGAAGCAGATATTTATTGCTGAGTTAGTGAGGCAGGAGTTAGAAGTAGTGACTAAAGTCCAGAAACTCATAGTAATAACATTACTCTCCCCGCCCTGCAGTTAGGAGACAAGAAAGCGGGTGATCTAG